GTGTGGATGAACTTCTTGAAGATACAACAAAAACAACTAGCACACTTCCAGAAGAACAACAGGCTATGGAAGAGCAAAGACAATATTACCGAGCCTGCCTCTACCTGTGAGGAACCAAGAGGAACAAGTTGCTGAAATACTTTCTTCTGAAGCACAAGAAGAACTAACAAAGGCTGTAAGGCAGGACCTCTCGAAGATACAGTTACAGGGCAGAGAAAGTTCCGCGAGAGAAACAAGACGCTGTAGAAGAACTAGCAGCAACTGTTGATGAGTTCTGCCTCTACCAGTGACGAACCAGAAAAACAACTTGCTGAAAAACCTTCCTCTGAAGCACAAGAAGAACTAACAGAGGCGTAGAGGCGGAACCTGTCGAAGCTACGTTAGAGAGGCACGAGAAAGTTCCGGAGAAGCAAGCTATAGAAGAACTAGCACCAACTGTTGATGAGTCTGCCTCTACCAGTGACGAACCAGAAGAACAACTTGATGAAAAATCTTTCTCTGAAGCACAAGAAGAACTAACAGAGGCTGTAAGGCAGGAACCTCTCGAAGATACAGTTACAGGGGCAGAGAAAGTTCCGGAGAAACAAGACGCTGTAGAAGAACTAGCCGCAACTGTTGATGAGTCTGCCTCTACCAGCTGCGAACCAGAAAGAACATACTTGCTGAAAAACCTTCCTCTGAAGCACAAGAAGAACTAAACAGAGGCTGTAGCAGGCGGAACCGTCGAAGCTACGCGTTAGAGAGGCAGAGAAAGTTCCGGAGAAGCAAGCTCTAGAAGAACTAGCACCAACTGTTGATGAGTCTGCCTCTACCAGTGACGAACCAGAAGAACAACTTGATGAAAAATCTTTCTCTGAAGCACAAGAAGAACTAACAGAGGCTGTAGAGGGGGAACCTGCCGAAGATACGGTTAGACAGGCAGAGAATGTTCCGGAGAAGCAAGCTGTAGAAGAACTAGCACCAACTGTTGATGAGTCTGCCTCTACCAGTGACGAACCAGAAGAACAACTTGCTGAAAAACCTTCCTCTGAAGCACAAGTAGAACTAACAGAGGCTGTAGGGAAGGAACCTCTCGAAGATATAGTTAGAGAGGCAGAGACAGTTCCAGAAAAACAAGAAGCTGTAGAAGAACTAGCGCCAACTGTTGATGATTCTGCCTCTACCAGTGAAGAACCAGAAGAACAAGTTGCTGAAAAACTTTCCTCTGATGCACAAGAAGAACTAACAGAAGCTGTAAGGCAGGAACCTCTCGAAGATACAGTTAGAGAGGTAGGCAGAGTGTTCCAGAGCAAAAACAAGAAGCTGTGGAAGACCTAGCGCCAACTGTTGACGAATCTGCCTCTACAGTGACGAACCAGAAGAACAACTTGCTGAAACCCTTCTCTGAAGCAGAAGAAGAACTAACAGAGGCTGTAGAGGAGGAACCTGTCGAAGCTACGCGTTAGAAGCCAGAGAAAGTTAAGGAGAAGCAAGCTCTAGAAGAACTAGCCACCGGCGACTGTTTGATGAGTGTTAGTTCTTCTTGTGCTTCAGATGAAGGTTTTTCAGCAAGTTGTTCTTCTGGTTCGTCACTGGTAGAGGCAGACTCATCAACAGTTGCTGCTAGTTCTTCTACAGCGTCTTGTTTCTCCGGAACTTTCTCTGCCCCTGTAACTGTATCTTCGAGAGGTTCCTGCCTTACAGCCTTTGTTAGTTCTTCTTGTGCTTCAGAAGAAAGTATTTCAGCAACTTGTTCCTCTGGTTCCTCACAGGTAGAGGCAGGCTCGTCAATATCTGTCCTTTGCTCTTCCATAGCCTGTTGTTCTTCTGGAAGTGTGCTAGTTGTTTTTGTTGTATCTTCAAGAAGTTCATCCACCCCAGCATCTGTCACGTCTTCCTGCTCTTCAGAAGGTACTGCTTCGGCAACTTGTTTTTCTGGTTCTTTACTGGTAGAAACAGCCTCATCTACAGCTAATGATTGATCTTCTACAGCTACCTGTTCCTGTGGACCTGCATCAGTTGTTTCCGCTGTTTCTTTGATAGATTCTTCCACCACAGCCTCTGTTACCTGATCAGCAAAAGGCACTGGAAGAACTGATTTGCCTGGCTCTTCACTAATAGCACCAGAGTCACCAACAGCCGGTGGTTGTTCTTCTAGAAGTTCCTGTCCCTCTGGAACTGTATTAGTGGCTTCTGTTGTTTCTACCAGAGGTCGGTCCACTACAGCCTCGGTAACCGTTTCCTGATCATCAAAAGGTACCGTTTCAACATCTTGTTTCCCTGGCTCTTCCCTTGTCGATGCAGACTCATCCACAGCTGGTGCGTGCTCTTCCACAGCTTCTTGTTCTTCAGGAAGCATACCAGCTGTTTGTGTCGTATCTTTAAGAGGTTCATCAACCCCAGCATCTGTAACCTCTTCCTGCTCTTCAGAAGGTACCAGTTCAGCAATTCGTTTTTCTGGTTCGTCACTGATAGAAACAGCTTCAACTACAGTTGCTGCTTGTTCTTCTATAGCTACGTGTTTCTCTGGAACTACATCAAATGTTATCTTTGTATCATCGATAGGTTCTTCAACTACAGCCTCCGGTAGCTTAACGTAATCATCAGAAGGCAATGTTTCAGCAACTTGTTTCTCAGGCTCTTTGCTGATCGATGCAGACTTCTCAACAGCTGGTGCTGGCTCTTCCGCAGCTTCTTGTTCTTCAGGAAGCGCACCAGATGTTTTTGTTGTATCGTCAATAGGTTCATCTATCCCAGCCTCTGTAACCTCTTCCTGCTCGTCAGAAGGTACTGATTCAGCAACCTGTTTTTCTGATTCAGCAGGAATTGTCTCAAGCACACCTTTATCTGGTTTTTCAGTAAAAGAAACTATATCTTCGGGGGCTGCGAGCTCTTCTTCGCAGACTGTTTCGTCTGCTGATGCCCCGTCAGTTACGTCGCCTTTATTCTCAAGAGGTTCATGTTGATCAGCCTCGATAAGCCCTTCCTGATCTTCAGTGGACAGTGTATCAGCTTCCTGTTTCTCTGGCTCTTTCTCAGCCATGACAGGTTTTTCTGGAGTTGGTACTTCCTGCTCTATGGTAACATGCTTATCTGGGGGAGTACTAGCTACCTCTAGTGCTTCTACGAAACGTGCTTGTTCGACTGTGGCAGCGGGTTCGTCTGTCTCTCTGACCTGCTTTTCTGATTCTTCACTGATAGCAACGGCGTCCTCTCTACCCCGCAGTTCCTCTTCAACAGCTGCCGGGGGTTCCTCAGACACACCGTCTACGCATGATGATGTTTCCTCAAGATGTTCTTTTTGGCCTGTCTCAACGAGCACATCTTCGACATCAACAGGGACAGCCTCAGCAGCTTGTTCATCTAGTTGCTTGTCGGCAGAAATAGAGTCGTCGGTAGTTACTGCTACTTCTTCCATAGTCTCCTTCTGGACATCTGGAGCTGTAATAGTTTCTGCTGTTGCGTCGAGCAGAGGACCTCCCTCGCCCGCTTCGAGTAGCTGTTCCTGATCATCATCAGGCTTTATTTCTGCGACTTGTTTCTCACTTTCTTCACTGACAGAGACAGATTCCTCTACTTTCTCATCGACCCTCTCTGGGGCATCAATTACAGCTTCCTTCTCTACAATGAAAACCTGCTGTGCTTCGGGTTCTTCAATAAAAGAAGCAGACTCCTCTGCCAGCGCGACCTCCTCATACATCAACTCTTGCTTCTCGGAAGGTGTACTAACCACATCAAGCGGTTCTGCTTGACCAACGTCGTCAACATTGACAGCTGATGGTTCTTCAACCTCAGCTGATGCTGCCTCAAGAGCATGTTCAGCCGGTTCTTCAATTATTACTACAGCCCTCTCTGTTACAACATTTTCTTCGATCGTTTGTTCCTTTCCCTGAAGTGTTTCAATTATTTCTGACGTATCATCAAGACGTTCTGATTCACCAGCGTCAGTTCGTTCCTCATGCAGCTCAGAAGGCAATGGCACTGCATCCTGCCTACCGGATTCTTCCTTATCGGACAGAGCTTCTTCAAGAACAACCACGTCTTCCTCCACACCTGTCGGTTTTTCTGGTGGAGCTACCTCGGATGTTTCTGCCGGTTGTTTTTCCTCTACTGGCTCAAATGGTTTGTCTTCAAATCTACCAGGCGATATTTCGTCTCGCTCTTCCACGGATGCGTCAGCTATGGTCGACATTTCGTCAGGAGTCTGAATTGGTTCTTCCTTTTTATCGGAGAGCTTTGTGATTATAATCTCCTCCTGCACAAATTCGTCCACTGATATTTTCATTTTAGGTTTTTGTGGAGAATCACGTGCCGATACATCCTCATCTTGTTTTTCATCTGCCTTATCATCGCCAGCAACCTCATCTGGGAAGGGCCTAGCGGCTTTCAGTTCCTCTGAGAATACTGGCTGGCTCTCAACCGTTTCAATCGTTTGTTCAATAGTGATTTCATGCGCTACAGGACTGCCGAGTTCTTCATCAGAATATGGCTCGCCTATCTCGATTTCCTGGGTAATCTGCATGATCACATCACTATCTGCCGTGTCAGTGACCGCAGAGGGTTTTGCATCATCCTGCGTTTTGAATTCAGAAGACTCGGGTGTTTCAGTTATATCTGAACTGGGACGCTCATCGACCGGATCCTGTTTTTCCTTAGACTCGGGTTGATAATATGCCTCAAGCTGAGATAAAAGGTCATCAAGTTGCGTTTGTACAGTGAGAGCAGTTCGTTCCTTGATTGTATCATCTTCTACCGTTTTTTCTTCCTCTATAGACTTGCTTACAGCTGATGATACTGGTGCTTCCTCCTCATGAGATTGTTTTGGTTTCGTTACTATTTCTATAACTTCAGTGACTTCTGTCTCGGTTGTTTTCACCGTGCGAGTACTCTTCTTCGACTCTGACGCATCGTCAACAGGTGTCTCGGTCATTTTATTTTTTTCATCTGTCTCGTCGATTATCACAGGAAGTTCAGGAGATTTCGTTCGTTCCTGCATTTCAGAAACGAGCTCGGCTAGCTTTTGTTGTATGACGTTTTCAGCTATTTCTGGTGGCGGGGATACCTCTTCAGGCCGCTCGTCACCACTACCAACCACAGCTTGACTAGAATACTCAATACTATCAGGAGATTTTCCTGTTTCATCTCTCTGGTCTATCACAGAATCGCTTAGCTGCTTCGTAGGAATATATTCGGTTGCGATTGGTTTTGTGTCATCGGCTGGCTCGGACTCTTCTGCTGCTGTGAAATCTGACTGCAGTTTTTTAGTTTTAGAAACTTCTGTCTCGATATGTTGAAGTGCTTCTCTGATGGCTTCCTGTGTTGCACCCATACTCACCACTGTTGTTTTGATTGGTTGCCACCAGGTGAAGTAGGTTAACACATGAAATAGAGAAAAGGAAACAACGAACGTTTTTGGAAAGTGATAGCATAAGAAATATATATGCATATACATAGTATACACATATATACGTACATATACGAAGGTGAAAGCATATAAAAATATTTATACATGAAATTTACTACATCAATATTAGCATTGTCAATTTGTTAAAATGCAGAAGCAGAAAATGTTAGTGACATCAAAGGTATATTAACAATTTGCTGGGGGTTATGATGTATAACTACAGGACATGACTATAAGACGGGTTATACACTATTAGTCAAGACATCCAGTAAGGATAATGTAGCAACCAACCATCAATGGTATCAGGAACTCTTATTTATCGGTACTATTTGTACTTTCTGATACCCTTGTTCTCTATGATAATACATTATCTTTTCACAGTGTCGTCAGAACTGTCCAATTGTCAAGCCATTAGTGTTACATCAGTTCGAAACAGACACGGCACCCTAGCCCGTGTGAGACAACTGTCAGGGATTGTTGTGGTGAAGAGTATCAAAGAGCTACAGGAGAAACTAGTTAAACATGCGTTTCAGAGAGACATCAGCTTAGAGGTTTACCGAGATAAACTACAAGAGCTATAAGGTTTGAAATCACATGGGAAACACGAGTATACGACACGGAATGCGTCATAGGAGACCTGGAAGGACAGATTAAGAGTGTTAAGAATAGGTGCGCAATGTCTGTTTGGAACTTCGTTGGAAGTTAGCATAGTCGTTCCATTAATATCCAATCAGTGATTCCCCATCTCTGATGTCACTAAAATGCGATAGAGCCTGGTAATACAAGATACTGAAAAATCACACTATGAAAATACATAACCGGACGATGTAAAACTATAAATACAAACGCATCATAATAGTAATAATACAAAACATGCAAGGGAGATTTTAGGGAACTACATGCCGGTGAGAAGGAGAGGAGCACGATTCAGCACCTTTAGTTAGAATAGAATCAACAATGGCAACGCATGGAGCATTTATTACAGCACCTGTCAAACCACACACGTTTTAGTATTCTACATGCGGATCTATCTCGCAATTGGTAGTGTGTTAATTGGCTCAGAAAAACGCTAATTTCAGCTAGTTATAAAATTAACAATTTCTCGTTATCTTTTTACAATATTTACCTATCGCAAAATCGCACGTGTCAACAGCAACTGTAATCGCGAATTAGTTAACGTTTAATACCAGCTTAAAGGTTACGATTAGTAGTTTATCATCATTATACCTAAGCTACTACATGACACGGACTGTAATTTCTATTTTATTAGTTTTCAATGCGTCACTGCTGGTCTATAGAATATCAAACACACTTATAGATACATAAACACTTATAATTATAATGTAAAATATTTAGGCAATACGTCTTATCACAGTTACGTTTCAGTGACAAGTAATAAAAATTCCGAATATAAATAAACTGTATCAAAACGCATCACAACCTCAAATATTAATGTGCTTAAATATGGAAATGCACGAATCAGCGCATGAAAACACGACACACTTCTCAATTTAGTTAAGCAGCGTAGATAAATCACAGTATCAGTTTCAACTCAACCATATCAAATGCTGCACTTTTCTGAACCACACTTTGCATTCCGAGCAATGCATGCATATTATCACGAGCGTATAAAGAAACCCTTCTTAATACGCTCTTGATATTATGACAGTTCGCAACGTAAAGTTACCGAACAGCAATCTCTCTCAGATGATGAGAAAAACTATGCTCATCGTATCAAGAACACGTAAACCCCTAGAACGAACAGCGATAACAATCATGCGTCAATTTCTAACGTATTAGAGTCAGAGTCATCCGACGCAATTCATCTCTGGCTGTGAGAATCAACGATTAGTATATATATACGCACTGCTAGCTCTGCTCAGCAACGTGACACAGAAAAACGGTTGGTCTTATTGAATCCAGCATTGATATTGATAATAGATATAGATTATTGTTGATGAACTATGACGGTGGTCACACTGAGCGAGCGTGCGTCTGAAACTAAGGAATGATTTTCAGTTTTTATCATTGTTCGCTCTAGTGTTTACGCACTCTTGATTATGTCAACTCGATGCAATCAATCAATGCAATTAGATTATACCAAGAGTCCATAATAGAAAATGGTTTCTATTATGGACTCTTGATTATACATATCATTACTACGATGTTAACCTATAAAACACACTTGTGAATGACCGGATTGTTAGGGTACAAAATAGTTGACTTATCTCGATGGGTATTTCAGCGTTTCATCATGCTTGGGTTATTAGAGTCAACGTGCGTGCGGTTATTTCACGCTAGATGCAAACCAATACGATCCGACTGGTTATATTCACATATCACGCTCTCACCTTGCGGTTGGCTACAGACTTCGGTTATCACCTCTTTGATGGCTTCCTCCGTTATCACCTCCTCTTCCGCGTCGCTGGCTATCGGAGTGTAGAGTTCCTCCTCCGGTCCAGACGCCGTGTCCCGCGTCCGCACCTCCTCCGTTGTCACAACCACCTTCTGCGAGATCAGCACGCCCTCCTCGTTTACCCACTCCTCCGTCTGCACGCTGCAGTCGACTTCGGCGTGCTCCTTGGCCTCGGTCTCTGTCGATGCTTCCGTCGTGGCGACGTCCACCTCCGTCGCACGCTCGTGCGTGCCGGGTGACTCCGTCGCCGTTGCCGCAGCAACCGTTTCCGTGATTATCACTTCGGTGTAAGTATCCCTCGTCAGCGTGCGCTCGGCATCGACACCGGTGTCGGCGGTGTCCGGAGGCGCGTCGGGGCTGAACCCGCTCTCCAACGTCTCCACGACGACGGCAGCGGCAACACCGACGCTCACCTTCTCAGCTTCTTCCTTCGCGCTCGACCCAACGTCTCTCATCTCCCGCGCAGCCTCAGGTCCGCTGCCTGCATCCACCGTTCCTCCTTGCTCTGTTGCCGTGGCAACCTCGGCGGTGAAGAACGCCTCAGGGCCGCAGCCGGAGTCGAGCATACGTGCGACGCGGTCAGGCCCGGCCGCTGCGTCCGCCGTGCGTGCTTCTTCGGTCGCCGTCGCCGACTCCGCCGTCGCTAGGACCGTGGGACTCACGGCCCGGTCAGCATACTCGACTGTCTCCGGCCCGCAGCCGCTGTCCGTCATCACGGTCGGTCGGCCGCCGACGCCTGCCTCCGCCGTCTTCACGGTCGTCGTCTCAGAGCCGACGTCGGCGCGATGCGTCTCGTCTGCGTCACTGCCCGTCTCGATCGTGCTGACCCTCGCTGACCCGGTCCCCGTCTCGATCATACTGACCCTCGCTGACCCGGTCCCCGTCTCGATCATACTGACCCTGGACGACCCCGTGCCCGCGTCCGTCATCTCAACACAATCCGTGCCCGTTCCCGCGTCGGCTGTTGGGAGGGAATCGGCGTCGGGACCCGTTCCGGCGTCCGACGTCCGCGGAACGTGGTCGGCGTCGGTGCCTGTCTCCGCATAGCTCACCCGCCCCGATCCAACCCCTGAATCAACGACCTCTAGCAGCGGCGGACTCGTTGCCATGTCAACCGTCGTGAGATAGTCGAACCCACTCCTCGCGTCGATGTAGCTGACCCGACCTGACCCGACCCCTGTGTCAACGACGTCGGCTGTTTCAGCATCGACCCAGGCGTCGGCGTATTCGATGTTGTCGGTCCGACTCTCGGCCGTCGTCTGCGCAGACGCGTCGACGGACGTCGCGGGAACGACCGACGTCTCCTTCGTCGTCGTCGTCTCCGTCGTCGTCCACATCTCCTGTGTGATGATGACGTCCGCCTGCGTGCCGACCTCCGCCGTCATGACCTGCTCCGACCCGACCGACACGTCCGACGTCGCCATGACGTCCGTCCCGACTCCCACCGTCTCCGTTTTCTCCTGATCAGGAGTCTCCTCTGGGATGCTCTCTTGTTGTTCGTCGGCGGGCGGCGGCGGCTGGATGACCTGCGTGCGGATCTCTCGGATCTTGACGACGGTGGTGACGGTGCGCTCGCGCTGCGTCACCCGTCCGCGGTCGTTGACAAACTCTTCACGCTCGACCCGCGGCGCTGAAACTACACGTGCAGCGGGAATAGTCACTGAGTGCCGGTCGCCTGGTGCATGCGGTTACATGGTTACATCGTCCGCAACGTCGGCTTTGTGATTTATTTCATTATTTTAGTTACGTTACCTGAGATATTGCATTTTTTGGCATCAGCTTTGCAATTTTGAGATGCTTCGCCAGGCAGTTAGTTGTGGTTACGAGGACTGGTCACTTGACCCATGCTGCTCCACTGTTATATTGCCTGCCATTAGCATACTGGTATTGTGATGCTTTGCTATGGTGTTAGTAACAATGTCCGTTAGTAGAATCTCCTTGGTCTCAACCTTCGTGCTCACACAGATGTATCGTGATTTAGTGCTACAAAACAGTAAGCACTGTGGCAATTCAAAACTAACAGTTTTACACCACACTCTGTCTACATTAGACCGTGCATACGGTATTAGTAAGCACAAACAAAAAAGTGTTACGGATTTCGCCACATCGCATTCATCTAGGTCTAAGGAATTGCACCACTGGCATCTTTCTCAAGTGTCACACATCTACCTACAGAATTCTGGTGCAGCTTACGGCACAACTAATTCAGCAATATTAGCTCATTGAGTACAAACCTCGCTATGTAACAGATAACATAGACATGTTTAGTTACAATTCCGCAATCATTAAAACGCTTGTAATATTCCATGCACGCGGTCAGCAATCGTTATGAATCAAGTGCGTTTTATTACGATTTCTACTGCGATACATGAATAGGCAAACAACAAATAATCCTCTATGTCAGCACCGCTAACATAACATATGATTCGTGATGGTTTCTCTTGCATGCGTTTCAAAACAGTTCATCACGCATTATATGAAACATGCGATAAGTGATCAATGATTCATGGCTACATTTTCCATACGTGATTATTCCAAGTTGATTTCACCGACCACACACGTGACTTAGCAAGCAGAGTTAGTAGCACAACCACGCTTCGCTAAAATATCTTTCAGCTTCTATTTGGTTTCTATACAAACCATGCACATATAAACAATGCTACGTACGAAAAGTCTCAAAATTGTAAAACCTCTTCACTGCATAGGCATAACCGTCGGTATGATTACTCGTGCCTTATACATTTCGCAATATTGCTGTTTATGCATCAATTAAAAAAACATCAGTACATAATTTACATTACTTTACTTACTTTACTTTCACTTACACATACTTATTATGCGAACAGTTATCGTATATGCGGGTGGCACGTCACTGCCAATAAGGATTAAACACTGCCTGGAACATTCAATCACTAATAATAATAGTAATTATGATCTTCAGAACTGATATGCTATTTTATGGGTATTTGGCAAACGGATACATGGCATTGATATATGGGTCGGGCGGAGATGGAAAAAAGCGAAATATACTATTAGTACAGAAAAACACAGAGAAAGACACGAAGGCAACAGAAACCAGATGAGTACAGAGTAAAACACTCTGAGTAAGGAACACGAAGAACAGCTTAACATATCACACTGATAGACAGAGAAATATATATATATATAACTACCTAACACATATACATACCCACAAATAATAACAGAGACACACTGGTGGCAACACACACATATATGTGGCGTATTGATCTCATGTCGAAAAAGTTCTGTTAGCTGACTATATCGGTGTTAATAAGGTGTCGTACTTACGTCTCGTGTGTTTGGCCGTGAAAGCAAATCACTGTAGTAGTACTCAGTAGCAAATCATTGGCGATCAGTCCCATGCAAGCTCGTGTTAAAACACTCTCGTCTCGTCAATGCATTTTTTTGCGGCAAATCATTACTGTTTACACCATGCACGGTGCGATCAAGCGCAGGTACATGGCTACGAGAGCTCGCCATCGTACGGCACTTGGCATCTCGCCGACACACACACACGCAGATAAATAAATGTTAGTTGTCAGACAGGCGTGGTGTCCATGCACAGCGACTTGTCCTCAGCACTCACATATCCCACACACACACCAGCCCCATTTGCCACGTCATCTCCACACACTCACCCCACCTCACTCTTCGACCAAATAAATAAGAAATAGATAATCGTGATCCTGATATGGCTGCAGACAGTCACACCCCATTTTTAACCCGCTATTATGTGTTCTCAGTTATAATCCAAACGGAGCGTGGGTTTCTGATAAATGTAACAGTACTTAATCAGGTGATGCTGCTATTGGCACGACCAAAACAAGGCCACGATTCGAGAACCGATTTTCAGAACCGCTATCACGCTTAGGGGAATAGAGCATGTGGAAAGTAGGGCATATGCGACACAGTCTTCAGCCATACGCACAGAATCAAGAGTATTCTGCCGGTACCGGACCGGTCAGCCGAAAGCAATGGAGGGATGTGCCCTCAATGCAAATTTCACCCCGACCTTCACTCGACCTTCAGACTTTTCCCTGCAGTTGTTTTGCCCTCTTTTCATGCACGGAGAAAAACCTTATAGCCAAAGACCGTCAATCGTTAGCAGTTATACGCTTAGGTACTCATGGTTTTACATAAAAATATTTGACGTGACAATAAGGGAACTAAAATGCAACCGCAGGTAAAGTGAAGAGTCGAGCAGTTTCAGATCTAGCGAAATACAAAGCTATGTTGCTGGCGCCTTAAGCGACGTCTGGAGTTTGCTAGAACAACGAGCAATCTGATAATGCAAAGTGTGCAACGTTCATGTACCGTTATTCTCACTTGAGGTTAGAGTGTTACTAGCGCAAATATGCAGAGCTGTATGTGTATATATATATAGCACATAACGCCCACTGACGAGCCATTCATTCGATGTAAGAAACGTTATATTATGTTAGTTAGCATCAATTTAAACCAACTAAAATATGCTAGTGTGAGTAAAATAAAAATATAATGTGAAATCAAAGAAACAAACAATAACGTATACCACATGCATCAGTGAATGTAATAGAAATAAGATTTAATTTTAGAATTTCAGAGAAACATGTTAGCAAAACAAGTCATATGCAATTTAAGCTATAAGTTCCCCACCACCAATCTCATTACGATAGAAAAATTTATAACTACATTATTCATGATTTAGGACATACTGGCTAAACTCAGAAATAGTATTTATATTAGGTATGACATTAGTTACAAAAGGTGTTATATAGATGTAGAAAAGTTACAAACATATTTAAAGAAACGAAAGGATTATTTAGTTCAACCGTTTGAAATTATTAATCTAACGAATATGTTACCCATGATTAATATAGAAAATTTACCATTCTTATTTGTATGTATGATACATAACCAAAGTTGAATATTACAACTAAAAGACACTTTCGTTACATGGTGGTGCTGATACTCATAACGTAAATGCAACCCAAACTGACTTACGGCAAAAACAAAACGAACCGATTACGTTACAATGCTGTAACCTTCCCCTGAACCAGATAAATGGTATAATTCAAAGGAAACAGCAAAACCTATCAGTTGACATGCTCTACAAATACAAAAGTAAGAAAAAAAATTTCGTGCCAAATTGGTGTCAGCATGCTACTTCGTTGTATGTTTTTTTTAGATATATGGCACACTTCACATGACCATTTAGTACAAATACAATAACGATAAACTGACACGTGGAGGGCATTACATTAACATCCAACAACTTTCACTGTACAAGTTAGAGCAACAACATGAAAGTACAACAGTGGAACAAGACAAGATTGCATATTCCACATGACGAGTTTCAGGACGTTTCATACCAACCCCCCGCGAATACAGTGATGTATATCAAAGGTTTATATCCATCTGGTTGGAAAACACTGCAGCAGCTTCCAAAGTCAAATGTCAACATCAATTCTCGGCCATTATTCACCTCATCACCCAAAAAATTCACGAATATCAAGACGGAATAGATATACAATTATCTAATTTAACGTGTATTTTTGGTAATAATTATTGGACACAGTTCTTGCGATCTCCCTACTTAACTTTTTCTGTTTACATGATTTCTTAGCATTATATTTTACTTGGCCTGTGCATATTTTCTTGGACACATATAGACTGATGTATGAGCTGCAGACGTTTCTAACCAGGTCCGATACTTGTTGTAAGCACTGTATAGATGGCGCTCACGACTACCTACCCTCATGCTCAGGCTCCCAGCCATCTTCACTCGCTAGCTTCTCAGCGAGTTCCTCAGCAGACAGACTGTGATCACCTGTAAATACACATCGTAAACACCTCCGTGTGACGTTACTACCATAATTTATTACACGCACACGCACACACACACGCACGCATGCACGCACACACACAAGCACGCACACGCACACGCACACACACACGCACACGCACACGCACACGCACACGCCCCCCACACACATTAAAAACAACACACGGTTCGTTCTTAAATTTATCGTGATTATGCGCAGATCTGATTATTAATTATGATACAAAATTAATTAAAAACCAATCAAAAGAGTTCATTATACTGTTATTTCGTGAGGTATCTGCATGAAATTACTGTTCGCTCTAGGATATTGCATGTACTGCTGTACTGAAAGAGAGCGGGTTCTGTAATTGTTTCCAGATATTTACTGCTCTTACCCTCTGTGTACGTTCTTGTAGTGGTTATCACCTTGGTGACCTTGGTGACAGTATCACCTTCATCGTCGACGAACGAGTCCGTTTTCGTGGTGGTCTTTACTTCTATAAAAGACACGATTCGTCTTGCAATCATACGAAGGAGCAAAACGCTCACGAAAACGTGGAGGACAATTCTCAGAAAACATTTCCAGTCACCGAGATTCGTTGCTCTAACAGTTAGTTAGGAACATCGCATTGCTCTATCCATACCATTCCATGCTGTATTCCATTGTAAAATTACAAAAATATCAAGTTATCAGTTACACAAAAGAGAATCACAAAAATCCAACAATGCAATCTTTCCTGACAGGGAATTTCATTGGTTAATAATTTCATTAACTCCGATATACGCGCCTTTGCCTGAATTTGACATGACATCACTGCATTACCAGCTGTCTGTAGAAAACGCGTTGCTTACTCCCAGTAAAAGTTTAAACAGGAATCAGACACTCAAACAGCGCCTACCCTCAGTAGACGTTTAACAGGAATCAGACACTCAAACATTGTCTACCCACAGTAGAAGCTTAAACAGGAATCTGACACTCAAACATTGCTTACTCTCAGCAGAAGCTTAAACAGGAATCAGACACTAAAACATTGCCTACCCTCAGCAGAAGCTTAAACAGGAATCAGACACTAAAACATTGCCTACCCTCAGTAGGAGATAAAACAGGAATCAGACACTCAAACATTGCCTACCCTCAGTAGGAGCTTAAACAGGAATCAGACACTCAAACATTGCCTACCCTCAGCAGGTTCCTGGGTGATGGGCGTCGGCGGCGGCGTGAATGGCTTCTCCTCGGCCTGTGGTGCTGTCTCCCTGTCCGTCTCATCGATGGTCGTCTGCTCCTCGGGCTGCGGCTCTTGCTCCCTGTAGCTCTCGTCTATGTGTGACGGCTCCTCCGTGGCGAGGGTCGGCGACCTGAACTCGTACTGCTCCTCCTGCGTCACGAATACCTCCTCCGTGACGACCTTCCCCTTCTTCTTCTCCTTCTGTCGAGGAACGACGGGCTCCTCCTCCACTTCCTCTTTGCCCTCTGAAAACACGAGAGATATTAGATCAGTGATGAGAAGTCAGTACGGTGAGATCTAACTCTATGTATGCCACGCATGCAATTACTAGACATGCGAAAGAGACATGGAACAGTCGAGTCAGCATGCATTGGTGCGACTTCACAAACAGACACGTGTGCACGTTTTGAAAACGTGATTTCACACACGGCGTATAAAATGGTACCTATGTGTCACAGACATATCATACACACACCAGTATATAATGAAACAAAATCATCGACGAATTTTTAGCATTAAGTAATACAGGTAACAGTTTCGTCTTGCCGATAAACGCAAGCTAGGTTATATAGACCTCCACCTGAAAGTAAAATCAGCTAAATTGCAGTTATTTGGTTGTTTAGCTGGAATGAAGTGCACTTGCTTGTTTCTTAAGAAAACATGCTAATTAAACCGATTAGTTCGCCATTTTAAAGAGACATGCATAATTGCGGTACCCGAATAAGTGTACGAAGAATGTAAAATGTCCTTATATGATCATGAGAAGAGCCGTAAAGTAACCGAGCTCTACAGAGAGTGTTCGTACTGCTAGATTAGAAAATCTACGGCACAGTGAGTCGTGACGCCTACATGAGTGAAACTGTTCGGAATGCATCACGTGAAATACTTGAAAGTGGAGCACGTAAGATGAAACACGTGCTCGTACGTGAGTGAGTGACAGACCAATCCGCCAGATAGATTATTGTGAGGTCAGCTCCTGAGAAACAAATCCGCTTCGGGAAATCGCTTTCCTCGCCTTACCAGCGTGAGTGAATAAACAATACAAGGACAGAAGCCATGAAGGAGGGTGGTTGATACGCGCGTACCTTCTACTTCGGGTGAGACCTCAGGTACGCTAATGGGATATGCCACGGCAACTCTCGGGGGTTCCTCAAGCAAGCGCTGTATAACACTACTGGGGGGTTTATGCGGTTTCTCCTGTAAAGCAGGGCCATGGCGCACAACCTTCACGGGCACAACCTCTTCCTCTTCCACCGAGTGCTCAGAGTCACCTATCGAGCAAAATGTTGCACACTCAGCATAGCTGGACACTAGACCCGACGGTATTCACTACCACGACGGATACAACATCATTGACCTTGTCATACATTACAACACCATCTTCCCCCGAACACACGCACCCATATAAAACAACAAGGATGCACCATCTACAACGGCTAAAATGATAAAGAGACATCGATTAACGGGTAATATAGTTAGTAAAATGACAAACGATGACAAATGTGAACCTGATGACTGAAACAACACTGAAATTATATACTATATCAGGCGATAATTAATAATTAACAGTTACGAGACAATAATCATTTCTTATTATTACAGCATAAAGAAATGTTTGCACTGAACAGAAACGTAACTTTGATTGTAGCAAACAGATAGCAAATGACCGGCATGCAAGATATAGCTTAATGTAACGAGAGGTTACAAGCGAGATTGCGCGCGTGCAATGTGTAATGACAGGTTAGATCACACATGCTTTAGTAATTAGTTGTTCGCTGTATGAGAACCCTAACCTCTTCTAGGCAATACAGTGGGGGGTAATCGTGATGCTGAATCGTGCAGTGACGCTGGCCATGACCCAGCAAGATCGGTAATGCTATGAAAACAAAAGCTGTATGTTTGCTGGATGTGCGACGTGAACCAACTGTGCTTTATTATAAATCATGCAGTTTGCGTCGATCGAATAAAGTGACTGACGTGCAGTGCCATGCCGTTCACATGCGCCGCACAACAGTGGCGGATTATCGCGACTCTAGTCTTTGTCCAGCACGTCTTACGGACACACACGCGTGAACACAGGCAGCGTGAATCAAAATCGGTAAAACTGGTCATAAATGGGAGACAGTGTGCAGGGGCTTGCCCGAGTCTCGCCCACTACACGACAGTTTTCCATCTTGGGTACAAAGCAAAGCGTTTTCTGCGGGTGAGTTACCTGTCACGCATGCTGGACAGCAATCAACAATTCGACAAATAAAGCAGCGGTCGGTGGGTGAAGCTGTTGCGGCGTGCTGGATGACAACGCTATGCATGAAGTAGTGGTACCTCTATCACTGCTACTCAGTCGTATTTCGCTTTCATCTTCCTCTTCCTTCTCACCATCGCTCATTGCCTCTAGTCGTTCCTGTTTTTCATCGTCACTAACATCATCGAGGGGCTTACCCCGAGTAGTTGTAATAGCAACGCTTGTCTCTGTCCTACTGTATTCGACATGTTTCTCTACTGTAACCGATTCGCTGACCACTTTCGTAAATGCGCTGTAAGATTCCTGCGAGTGATATTTGGTTTCGTAGATAGGCTGGGCTCTGGCCCGTTGCTCGTGGAGTAGCACACTCAGTTGTACATCGTATTCCCGCCCTTCGTCCGACTCATCGGACGATGTGTCTGCATGATCGGAGCTCTCCACAACCTCCAACTCGACATCCTCCTCAGATTGCAGCGGAATGACGTCATCTCCTTGAGGTTCCTCCACGTCACCATCAAAAGGCTGTTGGGTATCGTCACTTGATGTCAATAGAGTACATGAAATCCGTGTATCAGCTATTACGGACTCCGCAGTGATGTCTGTGTCGTCAGGCGATTCGTCCTGTTTCAAATCTGCGGAACTAGCTGTTGCAATCATTTCGCTTATTTCCTGGTCGGATAGAAGAAACTGAGAGCTAACATCTTGTTGTTGCATATCAGCGATTTTACATTCGTCTCCAAACATATTATCAGGCGATTGTGTCCTTCTTTCATCGTCTTCCACAAGTTGCATAGATAACGGGTGTTCCTTTAAATCATCTTCCTCTTCGTCTGAAGTGACGTCAGCTTCAGTTATTTCATCTGCCTTTTCATCGTCAGAATCACATGGTGGAAAAGGCCGAGTTGTTTCAGTATCTGATTTTCCTACTTTCTCTACAGGTACAGCAGTCTCCTGGAGAAGATCTGCTCTCTCTTCTTCATCAGCTACTACAGCCTCCTTCTCGGGGAATTCTGCCCTGTCTTCCTCTGCAGGAACTATAACCTCCTCAGGGGATTCTGCTCTCGCTTCCTCTTCAGCTACTACAGCCTCCATCTCAGGAGATTCTGCCCTCTCTTCTTCGTCGGATACTACAGCCTCCTTCTTGGGAGACTCGGCCCTCTCTTCCTCTTTAGGTACTACAGTCTCCTTCTCAGGAGATTCTGCCCTCTCTTCCTCTTCAGCTACCCCAGCCTCCTGCTCAGGAGATTCGGCGCTCGCATATTCATCAGGTACTATAGCATCCTTCTCAGGAGATTCTATCCTCTCTTCCTCTTCAGCTACTACAGCCTCCTTCTCATGAGATTCTGCCCTCTCTTCCTCTTCAGCTACTACAGCCTCCTTCTCAGGAGATTCTGCCTTCTCTTCCTCTTCAGCTACCCCAGCCTCCTGCTCAGGAGATTCGGCCCTCGCATATTCATCAGGTACTATAGCATCCTTCTCAGGAGATTCTAACCTCTCTTCCTCTTCAGCTACTACAGCCTCCTTCTTGGGAGACTCGGCCCTCTCTTCCTCTTTAGGTACCACAGCCTCCTTCTCAGGAGATTCTGCCCTCTCTTCCTCTTCAGTTACCACAGCCTCCTGCTCAGGAGATTCTGCCCTCTCATATTCATCAGGTACTATAGCATCCTTCTCAGGAGATTCTATCCTCTCTTCCCTTTCAGCTACTACAGCCTCCTTGTCAGGAGATTCTAACCTCTCTTCCTTTTCAGCTACTACAGCCTCCTTCTCTGGAGAATCTATCCTCTCCTCTTCCTCAGCTAACACAGCCTCCTTCTCAGGAGACTTTGCCCTCTCTTCCTCTTTAGGTACTATAGCCTCCTTCTCAGGAGAAGCTGCCCTCTCTGCTTCGTCAGCTATTACAGCCTCCTTCTTAGGAGATTCTGTTCTCTCTTCCTCTTTAGGTACTATAGTATCCTTCTTAGGAGATTCTACCCTCTCTTCCTCTTCAGCTACTACCGCCTCCTTCTCAGAAGATTCGAACTTCTCTTCCTCTTCAGCTACAACAGCCTCCTTCTCAGGAGACTCTGCTCTCTCTTCCTCTTTAGGTGCTACAGCATCCTTCTCAGGAGATTCTATCCTCTCCTCTTCGTCAGCTACCACAGCCTCCTTCTCAGGAGACTCTGTCCTCTCTTCCTCTTTAGCTACTATAGCATCCTTCTCCGGAGATTCTATCCTCTCTTCCTCTGCAGGTGCTACAGTCTCCTTCTCAGGAGATTCTGCCCTCTGTTCGTGTTCAGCTACTACAGTCTCCCTCTCAGGAGATTCTGCCCTCTCTTCCTCTTTAGCTACTACAGCTTCCTTCTCAGAAGATTCTGTCTCCTCTTCATTATCATGTACTATAGCCTCCTTCTCAGGAGATTCGACCCTCTGCTCCTCTTCAGGTACTACAGCCTCCTTCTCAGGCGATTTTGCCCTCTCGTCCTCATCGGGTACTACAGCTTGCTTTTCATGGGACTCTGCCCACTCTTTCTTTTCAGGTACTACAGCCTCCTTCTCAGGAGATTCTACCATCTGCTCGGCTAACTGGGACTGGAAAGTCTATCAATGAATGGTGTGTACTCAGTTGCAACACAGGTGTGATAGTTACTCTCGTCAGGGGATGATTCACTCTCTTTGATGGGAGATTCAGCCCGATCTTCTTGTTCAAGTACTACAGCCTCCTTCTCAGGAGATTCTGCCCTATCTTCCTTTTCAGGTACTACAACCTCCTTCTCAGGAGATTCTAACCTTTTCTCCTCATCAGGTACTGCAGCCGCTTTCTCATGAGATTCTGCCCTCTCCTCCTCTTTAGGCACTATAGCATCCTTCTCAGGAGATTCTATTCTCTCTTCCCCTGCAGCTACTACAGCCTCCTTATCAAGAGATTCCGCCTTCTCACCCTCTTCAGGTTCTGCAGCCTCCTTCTCGGGGGATTCTGCCTTCTCGTCCTCCTCAGCTACTACAGCGTCTCTCTCGGAAGATTCTATCCTCTCCTCCTCTTCAGCTACTACATCCTCCTTCTCAGGAGATTCTGCCCGTCTCCTCGCTCTTTCAGCGCTACTAACAGCGCCTCCTTTCTCAGGAGACTCTGCCCTCTCTCCTGCTTTAGGTACTAAAAAGAGAAATACATCCTTCTCATGAGATTCTGCGCCTCTCCTCCTCTTCAGCTACTTCACCCTCCTTCTCGGGAGATATCTAAACCTCTCGCTCCTTTTCGAGGTACTACAGACTCCCTTTTTGGAGAGATTGCTGGCTGCTCTCTTCCTCTTTTGGTACTACAGCATCCTTCTCAGGAGATTCAGCTCTCTCCTCTTCTTCAGCTACTACATCCTCCTTCTCATGAGACTCTGCCCTCTCCTCCTCTTCAGGTACTACAGCCTCCTTCTCAGGAGACTCTACTAACTGCTCGGCTACTGGGACTGGAAAGTCTTCAATGAATGGTTGTGTACTCAGTTGCAACACAGGTGTGATAGTTACTCTGTCAGGGGATGATTCACTCTCTTTGATGGGAGATTCAGCCCGCTCTTCTTGTTCAAGTACTACAGCCTCCTTCTCAGGAGATTCTGCCCTCTCCTCCTCTTTAGGCACTACAGCCTCCTTCTCATGAGATTCCGCCTTCTCACCCTCTTTAGGTACTAGAGCTTCCTTCTCAGGAGATTCTGCTCTCTCTTCATCTTCAGGTACTACAGCTTCCTTCTTATGAGATTCCGCCTTCTTTTGCGTTTCAGGTACTACAGCCTCCTTCTCAGGAAAATCTGCCCTCTCTTCCTTGTCACTTACTACAACGTCCTTCTCAGGTGATTCTACCTTCTCTTTATCTGAAGGTACTACAGCCTCCTCGGGAGATTCTGCGCTCTCTACCTCGCCAGGTCCTACATCTTCCTTCTCTTGAGATTCTGCCCTCTCTTCCTCTTCAGCTACTACAGCCCCCTCCTCAGGAGACTCTGCCCTCTCTTCCTCTTTAAGTACTACAGCATCCTTCTCATGAGAGTCTGCCCTCTCTTTCTCTTCAGGCATTACAGCCTCCTTCTCAGGGGAGTCTGTCCGCTCTTCTTGTTCGGCTACTACAGCCTCCTTCCCAGGAGATTCTGATCTCTCCTCCGCTTCAGGTACTACAACCTCCTTCTCAGGAGATTCTGCCCTCTCTTCCTCGTCAGGTACTACTGGCTCTTTCTCCAGAGATTCTGCCCTCTTCTCCTTTTCAGGTACTAGATCTTCCTTCTCAGGAGATTCTGCCCTCTCCTCCTGTTCAGGTACTACAGCCTCCATCAGAGGAGATTCTACCATCTGCTCGGCTACTGGGACTGGAATGTCTTCAATGGATGGTTGTGTACTCACTTGCAACATTGGTGTGATAATTACCCTGTCAGGGGATGATTCACTTTCTTTCATTGGAGATTCTGACCATTCTTCTTGTTCAGTTACTACAGCCTCCTTCTCAGGAGATTCTGCCCTCTCTTCCCTTTCAGATGCTACAGCCTCCTTCTCAGGAGATTCTGCCCTCTCTTCCCTTTCAAGTACTACAGCCTGCTTCTCAGGATATTCTGCCCTCTCTTCTTGTTCAGTTACTACAGCCTCCTTCTTCGGAGATTGTGCCCTCTCTTCTTGTTCAGTTACTACTGCTGCCTTCTCCGGAGATTCTGCCCTCTCTTCTTGTTCCGGTGCTACAGGCTCCTCAATAGATTCCATAAACTCCTCCTCAGTTACTACAGCCTCCTTCATCGGTGATTCTGCCCTATCTTCCTCGTCAAGTACTACAGCGTCCTTCTCGGGATATTCTGCCCGTCTCTCTTCTTGATTCAGTTACTACAGCCCTCCTTCTCATGAGATTCGGCCCTCTCTTTCTCGTCAGGTACTACAGGCTCCTTCTCAGGAGATTTTACCAACTCCTCCACAGGTAATACAGCCTCCTTCACAGGAGATTCTGTCGCTAATCTTCCTCTTTAGTACTACAACCTCTTCTCAAGGAGATTCTTGCCCTCTCTTTCCTCGTCGCAGGTATTACAGGCTCCTTCTCCGGAGATTCTGCCCTCTATCTTTTGTCAGTTACTTACACCTCTTTCCCTCAGGGAGATTCTGCCCTCCATCTTTCCTCGTCAGGTACTACAAGGCCTTCTTGCTTAGGAGATTCTGCGCTTGCTTCCTTTTCTTGGTAATATAGCCCGCTGGTTGCTCATAGATTCTGTCATTTCTTTCGCTCTTACAGGTAATACAGCCTGCCTTCTCAGAGATGTTCTGCTGCCCTCCTCCCTCTCTTCAGAGCATACGGCCTCCGCTTCTCAGGAAAATTCTAGCGCCTGCTCTTCTTGTTGCAGGTACTACGTGCCTCTCAGATTCTATCTTTTTTCCTCTCAGATATCTGCCTGCCTTCTTCTCGTGAGATTCTGCCCCCTCCGCCTCGTAGGTAGCTACAGCCTCCTTGCTTAGGGATTTCCGCGCTCTTATCGTCAGGTAATAACAGGCTCTTTCCTTCGGAGATTCTGCACTCATCTCCTTTTCAGCGCTACTAGATCGTCCTTCTCAGCCACGGAGATTCTGTCCCTCTCCTCATGTTCAGGTCTACAAGCCCTCCCACCAGAGAGATTCTACAATCGTGCTCGGCTAATGGACTGGCAAATGTCTTCAATGGATTGGGTTTTGTACTCACATTGCAAGCATTGGTGTGATAGTTATCCTGTCAGGATGATTCCCCTCTTTGCTTGTCATTGGAGATTCTGACCTTTCCTCTTGTACAGGTACTTCAGCCTCCTTCTCAGGAGATTCTGCCCTCTCGTCTTGTTCCGTTACTACTGCCTCCTTCTCCGGGATTCTGCCCTCTCTTCTCGTTCAAGTACTAGCAGGCTGCCCTTCTCAAGAGATTCTACGAGCCACTCATCCACGAGGTAAATATAGCCTCCTTCAACAGGAGATTCTGCCTATGCTTCCTGCGTCAAGTACTACAAGCGTCCTTCTCGGGGATATTCTGGCGCCTTTCTTTCTTGTTCAGTTACTACAGCTCCATTCTCATGAGATTCGCGGGCCCTCTGCTTTCTGTCAAGGTACTACATGGCTCCATCCTCAAGGAGATTCAATGGCACCTCTCTTCTTCGTTCAGTTACTACTGCCTGCCATTCTCCGGGAGGACTTCTGGGCCCTCTCTTCTCGTTCAAGTACTACAGGCTCCTTCTCAAGAGATTCTACCAACTCCTCCACAGGTAATACAGCCTCCTTCACAGGAGAGGATTCTGCCACTATTCCTGCGTCAAGTAGCTTACAGCGTCCCTTCTCGGGGATATTCTGCAGTTTCTTCTTTGTTTCAGTTACTACATGAGGCCGCTCCTTCTCATGAGATTCGGCCCTCTCTTTCTGCGTCAGGTAGCTACAGGCGTCCTCTCAAAGGAGAGTTCTACCAACTGCCTCCACAGGTAATACAGCCTCCTTCAGCAGGAGATTCTGTCTGAATCTTCCCTCCTTTAAGGTCTACAACCTGCTTTCTCAGGAGATTCTGCCCCTGCTCTTCCTCGTCAGGTACCTACAGGCTCACTTCTGCGCGGAGATTCTGCTCTCTTCTTGTTCAGTTACTACAACCTCTTTCTCAGGAGATTCTGCCCTCTCTTCCTCGTCAGGTACTACAGCCTCCTTCTTAGGAGATTCTGCCCTTGCTTCCTTTTCTGGTAATATAGCCCCTTTCTCAATAGATTCTGCCATTTCTTCCTCTTCAGGTAATACAGCCTCCTTCTCAAAGAGATCTGCCCTCTCCCTCTCTTCAGGCACTACGGCCTCCCTTCTCAGGAAATTCTACCCTCGTCTATCTTGTTCAGAGTACTAACGCGCTCCTCAGATTCTATCTTTTTCCCTCTTCAGATACTGCTGCCTCCTTCCTCGTGAAGATTCTGCCCCCTCCGCCTCCGTCAGTACTAATCAGCCTCCTATCTTAGGGGATTCCTGCCGCGTCTTTCTCGTCAGGTACTACAGGCTCTTTCTTCTCCGGAGATTCTGCCCTCTTCTCCTTTTCAGCTACTAGATGCTTCCTTCTGAAGGGAAAAAAAAGGGAAAAATTTTGATGCCCTCCCTGTCATGTTCAAGGTACTACAGCCTCCATCAGAGGAGATTCTACCATCTGCTCGGCTACTGGGACTGGCATGTCTTCAATGGATGGTTTTGTACTCACTTGCAACATTGGTGTGATAGTTATCCTGTCAGGGGATGATTCTCTTTCTTTCATTGGAGATTCTGACCTTTCCTCTTGTACATGTACTTCAGCCTCCTTCTCAGGAGATTCTGCCCTCTCTTCTTGTTCAGTTACTACTGCCTCCTTCTCCGGGGATTCTGCCCTCTCTTCTCGTTCAAGTACTACAGGCTCCTTCTCAAGAGATTCTACCAACTCCTCCACAGGTAATACAGCCTCCTTCACAGGAGATTCTGCCTATCTCCTCGTCAAGTACTACAGCGTCCTTCTCCGGGATATTCTGGGCCCTCTCTTACTTGTTCAGTTTACTACAGCCTCCCTTCTCATGAGATTCGGTCCTCCTCTTTCTGCAATCAGGTACGTAGCAGCTCCTTCTCAGGAGATTCTACCAACTCTTTCCACAGGTAATACAGCCTCCTTCACGAGGAGATTCTGTCCTTATCCTTGCCTGCTTAGGTAGCTAACAACCTGCTTTCTCAGGAGATTCTGCCGCTGCTCTTTCCTGCGTGCAAGTACATACAGCTCCTTTCTCACGGAGATTGCTGCCTCTCTCTATCTTGTTCAGTTACTTACTGGCCTCCTTCTCCCCGGAGATTCTGCCCTCTCTTCTTGTTGCAGGTACTGGACACGGCTCCTCAATAGAGATTTCGCACAAACTGCCTCCTCAGTTACTACAGCGGCTCCTTCACAGGTGATTCTGCCCTCTCTTCACTCAAGTACTAGCAGCGCCTATGCCTCAGGATTTCTGGCCCTCTCTTCTTGTTGGCAGGTACGTACAGCGTCCTTCTCAGGAAATTCCTGGCCGACTCTCTCCTCTACAGGTACTACAGCCTCCTTCTCATGAGATTCTGCCCTCTCTTCCTCTTCAGCTACTACAGCCTCCTTCTTAGGAGATTCTGCCCTTGCTTCCTTTTCTGGTACTATAGCGACTTTCTCAATAGATTCTGCCATTTCTTCCTCTTCAGGTAATACAGCCTCCTTCTCAGGAGATTCTACCAACTCCTCCACAGGTAATACAGCCTCCTTCACAGGAGATTCTGTCCTATCTTCCTCTTTAGGTACTACAACCTCTTTCTCAGGAGATTCTGCCCTCTCTTCCTCGTCAGGTACTACAGGCTCCTTCTCCGGAGATTCTGCCCTCTCTTCTTGTTCAGTTACTACTGCCTCCTTCTCCGGAGATTCTGCCTCTCTCTTGTTCATGTACTAACAGGCTCCTCAATAAGATTCCACAAATCACTCCTCAGTTGTACTAGCAGCCTGGCTTCAGCAGGTGATTCTGCCCTCTCTTCGCTCTCAAGTACTACAGCGTCGCTTCTCAGCGATATTCTGCCCTCTCTATTGTTTCAGCGTACTACCCTCCTTGCTCAGGAAATTCTGCCCTCTCTTCCTCTACAGTACGACAGCCTCCTTCTCATGCGATTCTGCCCTCTCTCTCTTCAGCATACTACAGCCTCGCTTCTTAGGAGATTCTGCGGCCCTTGCTTCCTTTTCTGGTACTATAGCCACTTTCTCAATAGATTCTGCATTTCTTCCTCTTCAGGTAATACAGCCTCCTTCTCAAGAGATTCTGCCCTCTGCCCTTCTTCAGGCACTACGGCCTCCGCTTCATCAGGAAATTCTACCATATCTCTTGTTCAGGTACATACGGCCTGCCTCTGATTCTATCTTTGCCTTCCTCTTCAGATACTGCTGCCTTCTTTTCGTGAGATTCTGGGGCCCTTCGCGCTCGTCAGGTAACTACAGCCTCCCTTCTTAGGAGATTCCTGCCTGCTGCCTTCCTCGTCAGGTACTGAGCAGGCTCTTTTTCCGCGGGATTTGGCCCCTCTTCTTCCTTTTCAGCGCTACTAGATCTTCCTTGTCGGGACGATTCTGCCCTCTCCTCATGTTCAGTACTACAGGCCTGTCCATGCCAGAGGAGATTCTACATCTGCTCGGCTAACTGGGACTGGCATGTCTTCATGGATGGTTTTGTACTCACTTGCAACATTGGTGATGGATAGTTAATACTGTGCAGGGGATGATTCTCCTTTCATTTTATTAGAGATTCTGACCTTTCCTGCTTGTACATGTAGCTTCAGCGCTCCTTCTACAGGATGATTCTGCCACGTCTTCTTGTTCAGTTAGCTACTGCCTCCTCTCCGGGGATCTGCGCTCGTCTTCTCGTTCAAAGTAGCTAGCAGGCTCCTTCTCGAAGAGATTCTAACCAAGCTCCTCCACAGGTTAGTACAGCTCCTTCCACAGGAAAGATTCTGCCCTATCTTCCTGCGTCAAGTAACTACAGCGTGCCTTCTCTGGATATTCTGGGCCTTCTCTTGTTTCAAGTTAGCTACATGCCTCCTCTCATGAGATCTGCCCTCTGCTTCTCGTACAGGTAGGCTACAGGCTGCCTTCTGTTCAGGAGATTCCTACCGATCCGCCACGTAATACAGCCTCCTTCACAGAGATTCTGCCCTATCTTCGCTCTTTAGGTAGCTACACAACCATCTTTTCTCAGGAGATTCTGGCCGTCTCTTCCTCGTCAGGTACTATCAAGTGCTGCCTTCTCCCGAAGATTCTGGGGTCCCTCTTTTTTCGCTTTCAGGTATACAGCAGCTTCTTTCTCAGGAGAATTCTGCCTTGTCTTCTGTTCAGGTAGTACAGGCCTCACCTTCAGAGGCAGATTCTACCATCTGCTCGCTACTGGACCTGGAAGTATCGCAATGAATGGTTGTGTACTCACGTTGCAACATCGGTGGCGATAATTACCCTGTCAGGGGATTGATTCTCTTCTTTCATTGGAGATTAGCTGACGCTTTCTTCATTGTTCAGTTACTACATCCTGGCCTTCTCATGGGGATTCTATCCAACTCTTCCACCTAGGTAATACAGCCTCCTTTCAACAAGGAAGATTCTGTCCTATCCTTCTCTTTAGTACTACATACCAACCTCTTTCTCAGGAGATTCTGCCCTCTCTTCCTGTCAGTAACTACAGGCTCCTTCTCCGGAGATTCTGCCCTCTCTTCTTGTTCAGTTACTACTGCCTCCTTCTCCGGAGATTCTGCCCTCTCTTCTTGTTCAGGTACTACAGGCTCCTCAATAGATTCCACAAACTCCTCCTCAGTTACTACAGCCTCCATTACACACGGTGATCTGCCCTCTCTTCTGTTCTTCAAGGTACTACAGGCGTCCTCTGGCAGGATAGTTCTGCGCGCTCTCTTCTTGTTCAGGTAGCTACAGCCTCCTTCTCCGGGAAATTCTGCCTCATCTTCCTCTAGCAGTACTACAGCGCTCTTCTCGATGAGATTCTGGCCCTCTCTTCCTCATTCAGCTTACTACAGGGCCTCCTTCTAGGAGATTCTGCCCCTTGCTTCTTTTCTGGTACTATAGCGACACTTTTTATCAATAGATCTGGCCATTTCTTCCACCCCCCCTCTTCAGGTAATACAGCCTCGGCCTTTCAGGAGATTCTAACCAACTCCTACCACAGGTAATAAAGACCTCAGCTTCACAGATGATTATGTCCTATCTGTCCTCTTTAGGTACTACACCTCTTTCTCAGGAAGATTCTGCCCTTCTTCTTGCGTCAGGTACACAGGCTCCTTTCTCTCGGAGATTCTGCGCCTCTCTCTTGTTCAGTTATCTACTGCCATCTTCTCCGTAGATTCTGCCGCTCTCTCTTGTTCAGGTACTGACAGGCTCCTGCAATAGATTCGCAACAAACTCCTCCCTGCAGTTACTGACAGCCTCCTTCACAGTGATTCTGCCCTCCTCTTCTTCTTCAAGTACTACAGGCGTCCTTCTACAGGATATTCTGGCCCTCATCTTCTTGTTCAGGTACTCAGCCTGCCTTCTGCAAGAAATTCTGCCCTCTCTTCCTCTACAGTACTACAAGCCTCGCTTCTGCATTAGATTCCGCACCTCTCTCGCTGCTTCAGCTACTACAGCGTCCTTCTCAGGATATTCCCTGCCCATCTCTTCTTGTTCAGGAGTACTGACACCTCCTTCTCATGAGAATCTGGCCCTCTCTTCCTGCTTCAGCTACTACAGCCTCCTCTTAGGAGATTCATGCCCTTGCCTTGCCTTTTCTGGTACTATAGCCAACTTTCCTCAATAGATTTCTGCCATTTCCTTTCTCTTGCAGGTAATACAGCCTCTCTTACTCAGAAGATTCTGGCCCTCTCGCCTCTCTTCAGGCACTAACGGCCTCCTCTCAGGAAGATTCCTACCGCATATCCTTCTTGTTTCAGAGTACTACGCCTCCTCGATTCTATCTTTTCTTCCTCTTAGATACTGCTGGCCTCCTTTTCGTAGAGATTCTGCCCTCGTCCGCCTCGTCAGGTTAAGTGCCTCTTAGGAGATCTGGCCTGCTCTTCCTCGTCAGGGTACTACAGGCTACTTTGCTCCGGAGATTCTGCCCTCCTTCTTCCTTTTCAGCGCTTACTAGCTCTTCCCTTGTCCGGAGATTCTGCCCTCTCCTCATGTTATCTACAGCCTGCCATCAGAGGAGATTCTATCAATCTTGCTCGGTACCTGGGACTGCATGTGCTTCATGGATGCGTTTTGTACTCACTTCAACATTGGTGTGATAGTTATCCTGTCAGGGGATGATTCTCTTTCTTTCATTGGAGATTCTGACCTTTCCTCTTGTACATGTACTTCAGCCTCCTTCTCAGGAGATTCTGCCCACTCTTCTTGTTCAGTTACTACTGCCTCCTTCTCCGGGGACTTCTACCCTCTCTCTCCGTTCACAAGTACTACAGGCTCCTTCTCAAGAGATTCTACCAACTCCTCCACAGGTAATACAGCCTCCTTCACAGGAGATTCTGCCCCTATCTTTCCTCGTCAAGTACTACAGCGTCCTTCTCTGGATATCTGCCGCTGCCTTCTGTTCAGTTACTACAGCCTGCCTTCTCATGAAGATTCTGCCCTCGTCTTTCTTCGTCAG